CATATACAGGAAGAAGACCATTTTGAGGGATAATGAGATGAAAGATTTCGCAGTAGCAGGAAATGAGTGCCACTGTCCCCTGCTGTCACTGTGCTTGTGAATAAAACTCGTACTGTTAAACCAAATGACAAAGAGTGGCTGTGTATGTCAGTGAAGGAGGATGTTGCTGCTAAACAACACACGCACGTGTAATAAATAATTATTCAGATTTAGCTTTAGAAATAACACAAAAAACATTGAAGGGACAGATCAAACATTCTTGAAAAAAACTCTCATAGCTGGCGCTCAGGGTCCAGTTAGGGGATCATTCATTGTGAAAAACAGTTACAGGGCAGTAGTAAAGCTGCCAAGGGTCAAAGTACGGACGTAAAATAGCCTGACAGCACCACAGATAAACTGCAGGCCTGCGGTCTTGTCCACTCATGTGTCTCGTGAGTTTGTTTATTAGCAAGGATTTGAATCTCAGCTAATGGGCTAATAGAGTATACAGTGTGGACAGCCAATCCATCACCATGATTGCTGCTCCAAATACACAAGGTTAGGTAACACATCTGTTAGGTAATATCAGGAACTGAAACAGAAATGTCACTAAGGTGTGAGTTTTACAGATGTTTCAACATTCACACTGGTTCCTCCTTTTTTGAAGCTCATTGAGATTTGTTCTAATTTGTTATGGGAGCGTCCTGCATAAAATCAAGAAAAAGGATGACTCCGCCTTTACAACAGAGTGGCTGTGTTTATCTCTAATGGGCAGGCTTGCTAAGTGCATGTGTGTGTGTATGTGTGTGAGTGTGTGTACAATGACACTGACATCCTGCATCCTCCATGCTCATCTGCTTTTACAACCTATTAATTAGAGCGCTGCTATCACAGAGCCTGTGGCAATCTCTCTATCTGCCGCTGACTCTCCCTGTCTCACTTAGAACAAGTAATCTCTCTCTTTCGATCTGTCTGCGTGTGAATCAATGAAGATCACTTTTTCTTTCATTTCAGTGACCCGACTCTAAGCATATTTCATTTTCTTTTTCTCAGACAGTCATATTTATCCACAGAGTCTCATAAACCATGCAGGCGTACATTCATAAAGGAACCTGTGACCCTGGCAGGTTGAGACATTTTCTCTTTTTTTCATTTTCTTTCTTTCCTTCTTTTTTATTTTTTCTGTCTGTCTTTCTTTCACACAAAGGTTGAGATATAACCACATGACTACAGGTTTACTGGCAAAGTCAGGAAGGATATACCTGAATAAACATGCACTGTGTGTGTGTGTGTGTGTGTGTGTGTGTGTGTGTGTGTGTGTGTGTGTGTGTGTGTGTGTGTGTGTGTGTGTGGCGAGTGTGCGCACGTGAACATACATAGCCCTCTTACCGTGTGTGTGTGTGTGTGTGTGTGTGTGTGTGTGTGTGTGTGCATATCTATACATACATTGTGGGGGTCTGTGGTTGCTCGCATATGTGTACTACATGTTTAGGAGTGTATGTTACTGTGTGTGTGTGTGTGTGTGTGTGTGTATGCCCATGAGTGCTTGCGTGTGCATGGGACAGGTTGTAATTTAGCAAGGGAACATGGAGGCTCATGAAGGGGCAGGACCCAGGGGAGCCATCAGCCTGAACTCGCTGTTCCCGGGACGTGCCCTGGGAAGAGACCCGATGTCACTTGGATAAAAACAACACACACGCCCTGTCAAACAGCAGGGAGGATGGATGGATGGGGAGAGGACAGGGGAGTGATAAAAAAAAAGACGGAAAAGAGAATAATGACCGCCAGAATTTAATGGACAAAGATGGGAGAGAGAGAGATGAATAGATAGAAAAAAAGAAGGAAGTGAGACAAAGAGAGATAGGAAGAGATGAAGAAAGACAAATAAAAAGGAAAAAAAAAATTCAATAGTGTGCAACCTATGCTCCCCTGGAAATAACTCGTCATGACTTGGCAGAGTATGGCATAGATTCTGATACTGATGTTTTATAACAATATCTCACACTTGAACCCCTGCTGCATTCCCCAGTGGACAGTTAATAGTTTTCAAGACAGAGGTGTGATTAAGCAGAAATAAAATCAGTGGTACTCTTCAATGCCATGCAGTGAACAAGTCAGATGTCCTTTCTGGATGAAGAAATGCATGTATTTTGTCACAAATACAGTGCCCACCCATTCAAAAATATTCTGTATGAAGTACCAGCACAGCAGCAGCAAGTATAAAAAGCAGACTTTGGTGACAGCTGAATTAGATAACGTGACAGATCGAGATGAGTCAATTTGTTGCCATCACTCTCACACATCTCTTATTATCACAGACGAGCCCTAGCATATATAAAAAGGCAACATCTGTGATACATCCATCTTTTATGCTGGACAGCAAAGATTTATGAGAGACATATTGGATAGCTTGAACTATTCAGACAAATTCATTAGAGGCTTAAATGTGTGGACAGCAGCCTCTAATTTAGTTTAAAACCCAGTATTTTTTGCTCTGCATGAGTCTTTGCCCCCCACTGCACCCCAATTACAGAGACTTCCTAATGGATATCCTCTTGTCTCTGCTCTCTGATCCTCTACTGCTCCTCTGGGATGAGGCCTTGTGTGTCTGCAAGTGTGTGTGTGTGTGTGTGTGTGTGTGTGTGTGTGTGTGTGTGTGTGTGTGTGTGTGTGTTTATGCTGCATTACTATACTGTATGTATGCACTGTAATAGGATAGGACTCTATTTTACACAAGCATTCTCAGGGCTGTTCATTACAGGTTGTCCCGTATGACCCGGCGACATTACTATTACTTCAGAGCCTTTGCAGTGGTCTGTCAGATGAGCAACCTCATATAGACAACAGGTCAGCAAAAACATGCGTAATAAAAGCATTAGCAGAGAATTATCATTTTAGTGAAAAATATAAAATGATTTGTATAATTTTCATTTTTCCAGTGCCATACACTGATCCAATACTATACATTAAAGTACTATGACTATACCATACTACAATATATTATATATTATATATAATGTGCTAATAAAATACTTGTTTTTTTAGAGATAATTTTGATAGTTCTACACTACTAAATCTCCATCAGTGAGGAAAAAACACCCCGTTTTTGTGCAACTATGTATGCTGTGAGTTACAGGAAAAGCGTTCAAAGCTTCTTCCTTTTCTCAGGGATCAAACAACGAAGGGATATTTACTGCTTTGTTTGGTACTGTGGCAGAGGACTGCATCATGAGGTGCAGAAGGGAAACCAGAAACAGTTTACTTGAAGTCATAAACAAAAAGATGTGTGACGATAATATAGCAACAGAAAAAGGGGTGACTCAGTATTTGTAATGATTTCATGAATGAATCCATTTTACTGACTTATAAAACATGTTCAGCCCATGACCAGTTGAGAAAAAGAGTATCAGATTTCACGGCCATCTCCTGGACAAAGTAAAGCTGCCTTCAACATCTCGCCTTCATCACATCCCATTACTGGAGCTTCACCCCACACATTTACAGTAACCAAGTAAGCCTATATGAGCTTTGAGATTTTAAAGACTTTTATTGACCTCACACCGTATTCTTATTCTGACTAAACACTCACTATAAAAACACAATCAAGAAAAGGTATAATAAACAAAGCTATATTTTAGTCTTGTTCCAGTATCAAATGGAACATATGGTCAATAACTGTTTAATGGATGACTATCAGTACAAGAACCTGATAAAACATCTAATAAAGTCCATTATGAGAAGCAGAGGCCAACAGAAACAGTTGTTTTATGGCTTTATTGTGCAGTTAAAGCACACCTGGCTGTTTTTCCAGGTAGCAATTAAAGCTGATCACTGCAGTTGGTTCGGCCATGCCCTTTTATATTATTATTGTGAGAGACGTGGCAGGTGTTTCATTTTGTCTGCATCACTGGTCATTATTTGACAGAATAAGTGACACAAATGATAAAAAAATCGAAAGGATAAACACTAAGCCTCTTCAACGATCCTTTATGATATACAGTGTTTTCTATGCTCTATGCTCAACTTTGAATGTCACAAAATTATATCTCAATTCAAACATAAGGCACATTTTTACACTGCTTCATGAAATTCTCAGAAGTGTCTGTTTTTTTATGAGGATATTTATGTTTTTATTTATGTTTTCACAGGATCAGTGTATGTTCTCTCTATAACAGTTTATTTTTAAACGGGTATGCACCAATATTTCCTGTGGACTGACACAAGGAAGCCACTTGGGCCCACTTCTGTTTGCCAATGGGTTACCATGCATGGTAAAATAAAATGGTGACAAAGCTGTGTTATGCAGATGACTCACTTCTGTTCTGTGACAAATCAGTGGATTTAATAGAGGCTGAAATTACTAAACAGCAACCCATTAATTAATTGGTGAATAAACACTCTGGTCTTGAATCAAATCTTGTGTTGTATTTAGTAGTTGTAAATTCCCTGTTGGACTTGATACGAGCTGAGTAATAAAATAATTAATTATTGACAGTAAAACTAGATTATTTCTGTCCTGGTCTGACCTCATTAATAATATCATAAAATGGTAAATTACATTGATATGAGTCATTTGGTCAAGTGCTGCAAATAAACTAAAGAGTCAATTCTTTATCTGTTTGTCTACGTGACGTCTGCATTCAATAGTGTTGCAGTCATGAATTATAGCTTTGTTATTAGATTTGTAATTTGTCTGTAGGGTAAAATAACCATAATCATATGAAATTACGTATGTGATTGTATGTTTCTTTTTTATGGTTTGCTTGTTTGTCTTATTTGTTTTTGTTGTTGTTTTTTTTAAGTTCGGTTTTTTATATATATTAAACAGGCAGGAATGTTCCAACTAATAAAGTGTGGGTTAAAACATTCATTCATAAATATCACCTTTAGTGGTGCTTTTTGAGATACCTCTTTGTAGGTTATTCATTTGTACTCCAGGAAAACTAGTCATCATTATACAGAAGCTACACAATATCCCTCCTGAGGAAGGTATCGAAGGTGTCCTTGAGCTACTGTATCTGTTTCAAATTTCATAGTTTGATCTTTATTGAATTTATTGATTTAGGTGACAATTTTACATGCCATTATGCATCACTTTGATAAACATCCAACCATTCTGTGGCTGCTGCTGCTTGATCAAAACACGCCGTCATATTGGAGAATACTAGCAGGAAATAGTTAAGACAAGGTGGAGTCATCCAGTTATCCAGTCACCTTTCATTTTTCTATTTTATGATCATTTCTTCTTGTTTCATCATTCTTTCAGCCAAAATGTCTAACCAATCTCTGTCTGGTCCTCCCATGCTTTTTGGCGTGGCCTGTCCAGTCCTGTTCTGGCAACAGTTGGGGAGCTTGGCTGTAGTGGCCATCTCCTTATCCAGATGAATAGTGGCTGTTCCAAGGAGCAGTTGCAGAGTGTCTGGGCCCCAGGCCCCGGGCCCCAGCTGCTATCTCAGCCTCACAGTCAGTCTGCTGAGTGTGAATATTCATTTAGCTGGCCACATAATCATAGGCTCACCGATGTTTGTGTTGCTGCCTCAGGGGTTTATATGGGAGCTGAGGGGCCCATTCAACCACATGCGGTTTAGTTTATTGCCAGCAAACAATGTAACATGGTTTTAGAATATGTCTCTTATGAGCACTACATCATTGTGTCATACACATTGTTTCAATGAAATCATTAAATAATAGTACATCATATTGTAGGATATTGGCTCATAATAACTGTAAATGTTCTCAGTGCCGCTGGGATATTGTCTGCAGAAAAATGAGAAAGAAAACCATGAAATGCCAGGCATAGCTAATATTATGATAATATTGTACAGTGCATGCACACACCATGCCTAAATATTCCTGGAAAAGTTCACCACAGAATTTCATCAAAACCATGGTGGGAGCTGACTGGTTTGACAGGAACCAGAATAAGTAGCTCTGGGCCTTTTTGGCCCTCATGAGGCTTCATGATCCTGCAGGCCTGGATGGCACAGAGATGTTGAACAGCCTCAGCACCCTGCTCTACTGAACCAAGTAATTCCCTGCCAGTTGGAGGCTTATAGAGCAACTCTGCTCCCTGGGAAGAGGCCTTTCACAGCTACAACACCGACAAATCACTATTTTCATGGCTTGACTTCCCCTCCAGAGCCAGAGCTCTTGCCCCCATGGTATACTTAGACAGAGGGTTAATTCCCGGGTGTCTTTTGCCCAATGCTGTTAATAAAATTGGGACCTCTGACTGGGCAGGAAAAGACTCTATTCTTGGGGATAGGCGTAGGACCAGATGGTCAAATGCCCACAATTTGCTTTCCTCTACAAATTAGGTTGGATGAAATCAAAGCAGCTGCTGGAGAACCATGGGGGATTAGGAGGATACTGGAAGTTGACATTATTTTGATTTAAACCATCAGGGGCAGCCCAATTTCTAGAAAAACTCTAGGAAAATCCACGTAAGAAAAGAATAAGGAAAATTAAGTGCCTTAAAGGGCTGACATTACAGTATGTAATCCCCTAGCAATCTCTCTCTTTGTATAATAATTCCTCTACATAACAATGACAGCTTTGCAGATTTGCAGACAGCTCCTTAGGTATTATACACCATCTTTGGATAATTCATTCTGCCTGTTTAGGTGAACATACCACAGAGAGCAAGTGTGGTATCTTCTTTCCTTCCCAGTGGTCTCCTTTTCTGTCCCTCCTCCCCTCTGTCACAGGGCAACAGCAAGCGGGAGCACTCGTGGCGGTAGAACGGATCCTCCAGGTGATCGAGTTTTCAGCCAAAGCACCTTGAATAATTAAACGCCCGCTCAAGTTTCGCGGTTGATTCAGATTACCATGTGTATACAAACAGATGGAGGCGCGTACGTAAGCACACGTACATTCACACGTACTCTCTTGTACGTGAACCACACACACACAAAATACAAACACACTTCCCAGTATTGCCAGGCTCTTGGCTATGCAGCTTTGTGGGAGGCTATCTCACACCATTATCTGGCTGTATGGGCCGACTCCCTCCCTTACTATCTGCTGTACAATCAACTGTGGCTTCAAAACAACTTAATCCCTCTGACTGGCACACTGCGCTGTGTTGTTGCTATGCCGGCTAGATGTCCTGCACCAGGGTACAATTTCACACCATTGTATCCCACTCAGTCCGGTAGTTATGTTTATCCTTAAGGGTATTATGGAAATGCATTTTTCCCTATGAATGACCAACAGCACTTCACTGATGATTTAAACATACTTCCTTCATGCTCTGGACCCTCTAGATTTATGGTACCAAGCACAGGAACTGGGAGTCTTTTGTTTATCAATTTTGGTTCATGGCTCCAAAGGCTTAAGCAAAGCCTTTGTATGCCATAACCATACCTGAATACCCAGTGTGTGAAAATGTTTTATGTAGTGTAAATATAGAAGGAGAAGGTTTCTTGCATAGTGTTCTGGGCACTGCACTTTCAGATGCTGATTTTCTCTTATACAGAATTTACTTTAGTTTGGCTTGTGACCTCCAGCCAAGCAATGACTACTCTTGACCCTTCATCACAGGTTGTGTATACATCTAGAATCTGTGAGCAGTTCAACTAAAGTTCCCTTCTTCATTTTGTTACTTGGTGTCCTGAAGCAGTAAAACTCCCCAGTATTAATTGCAAAATAAAATAAAATAAAATATGTATTATACTAAGGAGTTTTTAACTGGTTATGAAACGGTACCAATTTAATGCTGATGCTTCTATATGCACTTGCTTGATGTTTGGCTGTGTTAGCAAAGCTGTCGATTTGCTACCTTTTGATCATAAGTAATATAATCATAACAAATGAACGAGTACAGTTGTCCATATTTAAGACAGTAGTATTGCAACTGGAGGCACTAAATCATAACAAATACAGAATATTACATAATGTTGCTGTATAAAAATGTACTTAAAATTAAAAAGCAAAGGTATTGATTATTTAGAAAGGCCCCTTAAATACAGTAATGTTATATTCATAATTATGTATTGAATTTTTAGACTATCATTATTGACACATTAACTTACATATAAACTGTATTTCAATGATGTATTTGGCTAATGTTAGCTACTATAAATAAATAGTTTTATCTATATCATTTTTTACAAGCTGATTAGATGCTTTATATGAAAACTTGCAAATTAACCAGTGACTGCAGCTATCAATAAATGTAGGAGTAAAAAGTTTGCATTATTTCCTTCTGAAATGTAATGGAAATAAATAATTTCTTCTGAATTTCTCACATGGACATTCTAAAACAGAGAGGAGAGAACGTACTAATATGGTCCTTCCTGCTGTGCCACATGGCAGCCCGCCTGGCATCACCCCTCTGGGCTGTGATACCGGGTGATGTCACGCACCTGGCCGGACTCTACTGCCACTGTGACACCCGATCATGTTTGGCATGGCCTTGGTGCTGTTCATGGATGTTGGTACAAGTGTAATGTGACAGCTCGTTCCTTTCACATGGCATCCATCTGATGTCGTCTCTACACACGCTGATAGGCTTATGCTACTCAGTTACAGCACTCTTCACTTGCCAGGACACAGGAAATGTAGATCCATTTGGATCACTTCTATCAATTGAGTTGGATCGGGTGTGCATTTTGGAGATACCGGTGGCTGCTAAGTTTGGCGTATACATTGCTTAAAAGATGGCGCGTGTGGCTTGTGATCTTGTTCGTCAATTAAATTTGTGCCGCAAAAGTCATCAAACAGGCCACACTTGCAGCACGGTCAGGTTCCAACACTAGGAGTATAACAATACAGCCAGCTCACAGTTCAAAGTTCAATACACTGATATTTTTAACAGTCACTATACAGTACAATATTCCTCCTTAGGTTTGCAGTGTGCAACACTGTTTTCAAGTTTCAAGCCAACATGGTCAAGAAGTCCTAGAAGTGCTCTGAATGATGTCAAGTGTGAACATCTTCAGTTGCATGACAACTTTATCTGCTAATGAAGACTGTGTAATTTGGTCAAAAGCTACAAAACAAACGAGTAAATGGACTGTGATTGTCTTGTCAACTGCTATTTTCAAAGTGAAGAATAAACTGTGTAGTTCAATATACTTCATCATGTCAAACTGAACTGAAGAATGAAAATGTCAAGAAGAACAAGTCCTCACACAGATAAAAAGCAAATGTCTGAACCTGGCTGGAGAAAGAATCTTCAAACATTTAAGCTAACTACAAACTCCAACTTAAACATTTGTTTAAGATCTCTGGGGTTAGATATCTTATTATAAAGTTGTTGAACATTTTAAGGCAGCAGTTGAGATCTCTGAAAGCCCACAGTGTGGCATACATTGCACCCCACTGGCATTTTTAATGCCTGCAAACATAAATGGTGGTCGGATTGCAATATGCATATGTACAATACCCCTATCCACCACCATAACTTACTGGTGATTTTATTTTCCAGACCTGTGTGCAATCCATGGTGTCACACAGAGAGGATGACGGAGCAGAGTGGTTTACACCTGGTAAGGAAACAACTATTGGCTTGAATGTTGCGATGGGTATGGGAGAGCCTCTGGGTTTCCACCACCTGCTCCATTTCTCACATTCTGTCGCACCTTAGGGGACATATCTCATCCGGTCCACAACCCAATTACTCCACAACACGTTTAACTGCCATCAAAAGCTGCACAGCGGGGGTGCAAGGGAGCCGCACAGAGCCGGGCTGTTGCCATGGCCACTGTCACTCAGCAGATTTCCAAGGATGGAAAAAGATACAGAGAGCTCTCTGATTGGCTGTTGCACTATTTTGACCAACAGAGACAGGAGCAGTACTCACAACAATCCCAGACACTGTTGTTATGCAACTGAACAATTAGAATATGCACATTTGTGAATACTGGCTGGTCTCACTTGTTAAATTGGAAGCGTGTCAGCAAAAGTGGTCAGAGCAAATTTGGAGTTTCTCTCCCTCGTTTGCATATCAGATAAACCATGAATCAACACCATGTGCTCCTTCATATGATCTGTGAAAGTATAAGTAAACCCACTAAGAGAGAATGTATATGTTAGAAGAGAGAAAACTCCACTAAAAGATATCTGGAGGGTATTTCCTCTTAAATGTCCATTGCACCAGGGTGGCAAGTTGCTTGTAAGCATAAAGGAAAAAAACACCTGAGTTACACTCAGAAGCTCAGTTAGAGATCACAGAGGAGACATGCAGAGATACGGAGGAAGAGAGAATGAAACGTCACCAGCACTTGATACCACACACAGTGAGGTTTTCCACCTGACCAATAATCAGACATGTATGTCAAAGGCAGCTGATAAGACACCTACTTAAAAAACCATCGTCTTTTGTGAGGGAGATAACCAGATAAAAACATTTAAGTGCTAAGGCCCCAAAGGGAAGCTATACAGAGTATACTTGAATATTATTTACAATCTAAATTTAAAAGTAAATGTGAATCACAATGTGAACACAAAAGGAATATGGATTTTGAAGAAAAAAAAAAAAGTGATGATTCTAGTGTTGTCTTACGTCGCCGACTTTTATACCAAAATTATGAGTAAGTAAGTGGAAACTAATGAGGAAATGAATGAACATGTCTCGATCTAGATTATGGTGTTGAGATCCTGTCAAGGTGTGGACGTAGTTCCTGTGATGAAGTCATGTCTTTGTATTTGCTTCTTTTTGCTTGTGGTGACAACATCGCCAACAGGAACTGACTAACTCTCATTTCCCCCGTGCTCTGTTTCCTCTGACTCAATGGACCATGGACCATGAGAGCAAGAAACACAAGAACACACATAGATTCACCCCACGTATGGATGCACATGCTAACTCCTTCAACAACCTGCGTTTGAATTGCCCTCCATCTGATACTGGAGAAAACAGCTCAAAGGATTAGGAATAAATGTCACAGTTTTTCTCTATCAGGGGACTTCTTGGGCATCAAAGCAGGGGAAACTCAGTGCTGCTCAATCATCGTGGAGTGCTGCAGGGCAGAGCCACAAACACATATGCCCGGCCAAAACTAATGTGGAACGGAACCCGCCTGAGTCTTTTAACCACTGGACTCAGAGATACTGTACAAGAAGGGGGGGGCACTAATGGGGACCAGAGGTCTGTGGTCTACGTGATGCTGGCCAGAGAGACCAGACGGCCGATGACTGATCTGGAAGGAGGAAGGAGTGAAGGGGGGGGGTCATTAAGGAGCTGCTCCGGCTCTAATCATAGAATAACACTCCTCCTTTTATCTACCTTCAGCTCCATCTCACCATGAGAAAAACCAAAAGAGTGTAATCCAAGCCCTGGTACAGCAGCGAGCGGGGTTGAAGGTCACTGATGAATCTCAGCTAGGAAACATCTGCAAGCCATCCACTTGGAATGAGTCTCAAAATAAGGGGAGCTTGCCCAAAAAGAGGAGGATTAATTGGATTACTTCCAGGAGTAGTTATTTGCTGTAGTCATTAAGTGAATCATTATTTATATTGGGCAAGAAATGCATGACGGCAATGTATCATGTCATAAAGTAAATCTCGATCCTGCTTGCCAGGAGTATGTATGAAGCATAATGTCACTTTGACGGTGAGTAAACGTTTGGCTTCAAGTGTAGAAACTGGCTGTAAAATTCATACTGTCTGCAGTTGAAGAGGGCGAGAGGAACTCCTACATTAAGTGTGTCGTTCAGTCCTGTTGCAGGTTTGGTTATGAGGGAATAAAGTGACAGCATAGCAGATTAGCAGCAAGAAAGCTACAGTAAATATACAGTGAGATCCAAAGAACTGATCTGGTCTGAAAACACACATAGGACGTGTGAATTGGCTCATTCAGATAATTTGCTTTGACATTTTTATTCCTGAATGGTGAGTAGATAGTACGCAGATCTTAAACTGATTAAATAGGCCCGGGGAGGGAGCGAGGAGGGCATTAGTTAAGAAAACAGAGGCGAAGGCAAAGAGCGACAGGGGTTT